ATTAGCGTCATCAGGGATCGGCGCATCACTGAAAGCTTCTTTCATCACCGTAGCTTGTAAGAATGCACACAACCGAAACGATCATTCATACGGCGTCATACAACTAATGGCAGAATATCTGCAGCTGCGGTGAATGCAGGCACGCTGGCCCTAGACAATGGGATAGTCCAATCACAACAGCAGTCTTCTTCCACACTCGGGTCTTGCGCAGCCACTCGTGTAAGTTTGATCTACGGCTGAATTTGCTATCTCCGACCGCAAAGAAAAACGACGAAGGACCTCGAGAGCTGAGTACATGACATGACAGCATTCTAACCGGTGGCAGGCAACACTTGGGATGACGTCCAACATGCGGATCTCCTCGAGGCCATGCCCACTTATGGAAACCACACGCGCACCTCGAACCCCACCCCCAATCATCTTGGTACTCTCCACCATACATTAGGCATGCCCCAAACCTGGCGCGGCACGTGCTGCCTGGTGGATGATTTCCGCTGCGCCTCAGCAGTATGTATATACGGGTTAAACACCTGTGTTTTTAGGCTGCCTTTCAAAGGAGAAGAAAGCAATTTACTGTGTTCTGGGTTGGGCTCTGGGCTTGAGGTGAAGCCGACCGCGCAATTGCTGGGCGAGAGGCGGTGGGGGCGTGCTGGAAGGAGGATGCATCTAGCTCACGGATGGACGGGATCACAGAACTGTTTGAAGAAAACAAGTACCAGTCGTTTCATACTCTTATCACGCTGAACAAAAACAAGCAAAAACAATAACTTTCAGCTACAACCCATCTTTCAAGATTGTTCTACGTTTTTACGATATGAGGATACAAGAAATTCCCGGCTCAAGCTTAATGATTTCCGGCCGTTTGAGCAATGAAATGACATGTATTTCCGCCAGCGTGGAACAAACCAATTAGTTCTAACTCTAGCCATCTATTTTACCCTTTGCATACAGAATTTCAACAGTTCGGTCGTTGATTTCGACGCACAGAAAGCGCGATATTGTTAGTATTGTTAAACCCAAGCGTCTGTCCTTGAATGAATCTCAGCATTAATTTTTTGCCCATTTTCCCGCAAGTATAGCGGCACACAAAGTCGTAATTAAACATTGGCATGCACTGTCCTTTTCAGCTGCACGTCAATACATTTTCCACGCAGGCGTCAGAGGGTTCTACATAATACGTGATTATCAGCGGCTCCGTTTTAACAGCAACATGAAAAACAGGTTATTCAAAATATAATTTTATCGTCAGTGTTAATCCTTAGCCTTTCTAGAGGACACATAGCAAGAGCTGTATCTGACTGCACACGGATTGTACCTGCCGATCCAGGATCCCAGCCTTTCTGCACACTTTCACGAAGGCTGGGACTCCTTAGCAGAGTCACGTATAAAATCTAAAAATCCAGCAGGGCCAAAGGGCCATTAAGTTATAGGTTCTAGATTAAGTCTGACGTCCAAATGGGTCGCTGAGCGGCCAGTGGACCATCAGCAGCCTAACGAACACTTTGATGGCCAGAAGAGTCCACAATCGATCATAAGCTCCCCTTCGTGACCAGTGGGGTGTGGGCGACCAGTTAAGTCCCTAAGCTGTCAGAGAGGGACCCCACCCACAAGAGGCTCCTCGGTGGCTTCAGGGGCTTTCAGCGGCCAGGAGAGCACAGATCAGGTAAACGGCTCGTGAGCGACCGGAGGGGCTCTGAGTCCACAGGAGGTCGGCAGGTCAGCGCGGCCCGTCAACGAATGGTGACGGGGCTTTACGTCGCACGGAGCTTCTGAGGCTGAATGGCGTCATCCTGACAGAAAGGGGGGGGGGGGGCACCGAGAGGCACGGCGACCACATTAAAACGGTCCAAGAGGGCCCGGGTGATGCCAAGGTTATTTTGTGCGTTGAAGGGACTTTCAAATGGTAGACGGGACCCGGCAGCTATTAAGTCCCTAAAGTGACCCCAAGACCAACAGTGGCCAGTGGGACACCAAATGAGACCTGCGCCCGTAACACGACCCAATTGACGCATGGGGAAAAATGCTGTAGACCCTGCAGCTACCGAAAAGTTATATAGACAATGCGAACGCGATAGCACTTGAGCACCAATGTCACGTTTACATTTACAGTCGTGAAACGTACCCGTGCCAATTACCGCTACCCATTAGCCTTCGCTTACCGTGTTTCCGCTTTGCGAGAGAGCATGAAAGCCAGAATAGAAGGGCCCTGGGTGCCGTTCGGCTTCGTTACCTCCCGTTCAGAGTCGTGCATTCCATATCGTGTTTGTCCCTCATTATTCTGCGCTCTCCCATGGTGCGCCCCAACGGTCCGATTCTCCACGGCCTCCCCTTGACCCACCCCCGCGCTGCCGATCGGTTTGAAATCGCCCGCTCTGCCGGGATTTCTGCTGCGGGCGGCGGGCGGGCGGCACAGCATGTCGGTCGGCGAGCAGGGGCAGCGACCCAGGTGCCGCGGCCGCCGCCGAGGTGGGAAGCCGAATCAGTGCACGCACGGGATTTGCCGGGCGCGGAACGTGCTGGATCGCAGAGTGGTGGTGGAGCGTGGTGCGCCGCGTGAGAGGCCGGCGACTCTGGAACTTCCGTGAGGAGGACGCCGATGGAACGCGCAGGGTGAGTCGCGCGTGCTACGGACGTCAATGCAGCAGCTCAGCGCTCATGTGCGGACAGCGCTTTTGGAAGTGTTCAGACGAGTGTGCTGCAGTGTGCTGTGCAGTGCTTCCTCGGGCCGACCTTCTCAGAGTTCGCTGTACACCGGATTTGTCAAAATATCAACATCATCGTTATTTCAGCGATCTTCAGCCTTATGTTTACTGCCGTGGTCTCGCGTTGGGGGAGGCAACAAAAACAGGGATGGACGAAGCACCCCAAAGAGCTTAAAAGCTTCACCATGCCTTCAATGAACAAAAGTTAGCGCGTGCTTGGTGTGGCAGCGGCTTCGCGAACTTGTATTGGGGATGTGATGATTCACTGGAAACTGTCAGGCCGGGCGCCTTCACCACACCAACTTTTCACAGTATCTGCCACTACTGTTCATTTGACTTATGCTCCCGCGTGCGGCCGTGTTCGTCACCACACGTGCACCATCCGCTGTCGGCGCTGTCTCCGGGAGTCGCGCAAGATTAGAACCAAACCAGAACGGGCCGGAGCCTGGACGGAGTCCCAAGCAGACTGTAGAGCCCTACTGTCAGCCCGACCAGACTGCCTGTGGCAGCCTGGAGCCCATAGCGCCTGAATGTCGTCCTTCACAAAACGCCCGCAGTATTAATGAAGGCTGCATGTCCTTCATACAACCATTCACTGACTCCAAAGCCATCTAGTGACGGCATCTAAATCACCTTCCTCTGCCAGCCGGTGCGTCGTATTCGTGATTGCGAGCGAAAGTCGGAGAGACCTTCCGTACATTGAAACGAACAACATACCTGTAGTGATGCAGTCTGATGTTCTCTGCTTGTGGGCTGGTGCGGACTGCGACAGCATGCAAACTCAGACAGGAACTTGAGCGCCTTGAAGAAGATGTGATGTCTCCAGACGCGTGATAGTCCTAGAAGGTCGGCGGCATGGTGCCGGCTAGCGCACCAGGACGAATGATGTAGGGCCAGACACAAGGTCGTCTTTTCCGTTTAGGTGTGTTTCTCCTTCTTTTCCCACTTCGGTTTTGTTATCTTCTGTGATTACATATTCATCACTTGTTATGATCCTCCTTCTCATTCTCACCTGTGCACGTTCCCTTGATTTCTTTTCATGTTAATTTTTCTCCCTTCCTCTCCTCCTCTCGGGACGGTACCAGATCAATGTGGTCTTCGTGCCTCAGCCCCTCACGTAGGTACGCCAGCGCATGGGGTGCACATGACCTGCATGGAGGAAACGGAGGCGTAAGCGCGCAGGGTCTGAAGCGCCAGTGCGCTCCGAGCGCTCATGTACCCTGTGATAAACGGAAAGGGCACTGGCTCTTACTGAGATTGGACGTCGACTGCCTACAGCCGCGGCGGTGCGCTATCGTCAAGAAATTTACGAGCGGGTGGTAGCAATTTAACATGCTGTCCTTCAATATTATGCAATAAACGCCTCAGTGTCTGCTTGCTGCAAAGTGTGGGGGACGCTCTGCTGCAGATTATCCCGAGAGAAAGCAGAAGTTTTTGTCATGCATTTCGCCCAGACGGAGTTCAGTCACTGGCCTGATCGCCAGATAATCTGAACCGGCGCAACATTTCTCGCGCGATGCCACGTCCGGTAGCGGTCAAGGCAATGCTGAATTGATCGAACACGTTTTGTGATCTCACCGACTATCCTACGTGGTTAAGAAAAATGCAAAGCTCAATGAACACGATATTTTTTATTAGTCAGATTAAGATCATTCACTTTGCAAGGAAAATGGTGATGGGTGATCCTGCATCAAGCAGACCGTCTGAACACCACCACACCTCACCATCTTTACATAACTACGGCGCACAAGCGCAGCACTACCGCCCGTCCTAGTGAGCACGCGGTCAGTTTGAATCTCGCCGGCCACAGGTGGTGCCCGGGAGACCTCCGTTAGCAGCACCCGGTGACCAAACCCGCCCTCCTGCACCGGACGTCGTGGTGGGAACTTCCCAGCGGGCATGATTAGGTTCCATTAGGACACGAGTGCCACCGCAGAGCCCACCTCACGGCATTAACCTTTCTGAGAATAGCACCGTGTCAGCCGTTGGCTCAGCTGTCTTATCATCAATGCCTTCACATCGCGGATATCCCTATCCCATCGTGTTCCAGACCGCGTCCTCAGTTGAAATCGAAATCCCCATACCCCGTGCGCTGGGGCGCCAAGGACGACTATGCGGAATGGCAACGGTACACTACATCTGAATGACTGTGCGCCACGTGCCAATAGGACCCGCTATGGAGACACCTCCCACGGGATGCGGCGAGGCGCTCTCCGCGCGCGGACTCAAGGCGGGCGTAATGAGTTCCCTGATCATCAAAGCGCCAATGCGCCGCCGTCTCAGCTGCGTGCGAGGTCTACACCGCTTCCTTCTAAGCCGGCCTGGGCGACGGCTTTGATGTGCCGGCGGCACATCAGGACACTGAGGCCACTCACAGGCCGTCACCTGTCGCCGCAGGCTGTCACATGAAGCCGCAGGCGACGTGACACAGGTGCAATTAGATCCTGGCTGATTGGGTCTTTGTGGATTGATATATGCCGTTAGACCGCTGTGCGCCGCCACAGATCGATACGTGACGTCAGGAGACCTGCACCGTTCGTCAAAGCGCCTATCACAAACTATTCAACGTTCGATAGGTGCCACAGTCGGCCGGAGATTGACTCGGATCAATGCAAGCCCTCACAAGCAATGAAACAACCTTTTGAAAGTCGTAACCGTCGCTGGATATCGCTGTCCTTCGCAGGTTGTCGTTGAGCGTCGTAACCCGTGAAAACTCACCAGGAAACGCGAAATAACGTCGTAGGCCGCCGCGTATCATCGCATGCACCTTGTGGCCGCCCGGCACCCATCTGTCAGCCCCTCCAGCTGTCGTGGCCGCGTCGGCGCTCCCCCAGCGACCACCGGTGAGGCCTGCCGTTGCCGCCGCCGCCGGTCGCAGCCAGCACGCGCAGTCTAGCGGGCTTGTGCCGTCCGCCTGCCGCCCCGCCGCCCCTGCAATCCGCTGACAGCCCCGGGCGGCCCGTCAGCTGCACCCGTCACCGCGCCGACAGCTGCCTGACACCGCCCATACACACCCGACCCGACGCTGGCCTCGTGCGTGCAGAGAGGCGCCCTCTCCGGGCGAAGGGTCGGCGCCGTCGGCGAGGGCTGGGGAAGGGGGGACAGGGAGGTGACGGTCACAGCTGACCCGGAGAGAGGGAGGGGACTATAGGTTTATTGCGGACGAGGGCGGAGGGTGTGGCTTGGAGGGGAGGGTTCTTTTAGGGTGGTGGCAGCACGTGTAATGAGCAAATGCATAATAATTGTGGCCACACACCGGCCAGCTAGCATAAGGGCCCACTGGCAGCGATCACTCGGTTCTTACCCGGCAGCCGAGGTCGCGGAATCTGTTCCCGTCGTATTGGTTTTTTCCTTGCCGTCTCCATGTGTTGCTTCATATCAATTGGCGCATTGGGCCTTGAAATGTGCATCGAGCTAGAACCGTGCCAAGGACAGCCAGGATGTTCTTCACTCACATAAGCCCCCGCAATGCCACACCTAGCATTGCAATGATCATTAATCGTGCTTGCGGGGCAACAGCGACAGTTAGGAGTGGCTTTCATTCAGGACAGCACTATTGCAAAATCCGAGTTGTGTACCAAGTCACCCCGCTTCCAGCAAAGTGTTGTTATCGGAGACTAGGGAGGCCCCTCTGTTAAATCCGAGAAATGGCAGACCAACATCGCGTCGAAGTTGATTATGTATCAGACAGAATAGTAACGGCCCAACGGTGCCATAGACGCATGACAAAAATGCTGACCAGTTGCATAGCCAACCAAGGTGCCTGAAACGCTGAGGAAGAAGTCAGTCAGACTTCAGGTCTCCCACTGACCTGGGGAACTGTAGGAGGGGTGGCCATTGTTCAAGTACTCCGCTCAGCGGCGAAATCGAGCTCTGCCTCCGTCGTACTGTCCTCTCAAGGTCCAGGTGTTTGACAGAGGGCCGGCCCGCGGGGCCCAGCCGTCGAAGAGTGCGCTTACCCGCAGGGCACTACTCTGTATGCTAATGCCCGTAATCGATAGTCTAAGCCCTCCAAGCAGCAGCCGCCGACGGCTGTCGTATTTCTCGATAAAATATGGCGGGCACTCGATGCGCACCGCCAAAAACGGCGCCGCCCGCGCGCGCCGCTTCGACCGCGTCCGTTGTCCGTCTCATTACGCGGCCTCGGCGCCGGTTTACGGCCGGCCAGCGTCGATTGTTACGCAAATCCTGGCCGGCGTTCAAACCGCTCCCGCAGGCGCGCACTGATTTCCCCGTCTGCAGAAAGCGGCGCGGCGGCGACGGCGGCGCGGGCGGCCGCGGCGGCGTCTCTCTCCCTCTCTTGTGCGTGTTTACGGCGCGCGCGGCCTGCCGCCGGCCACCGTCACCCATTAGTGGCGGCTCGCTGACAGCCACCGCGCCGCCCTGCGGTCCCGCCGGAACCAGGCTATTCGCCGCGCTTTGAAACCGTGCAGCGTTCCGGTGGACCGGTGGTGGCCAGGGCGGGCGGTGTGTTGACGCGCGCGCGCTGGCGAGCGGGCGATCCGTGGCGCGTTCGATACAGGTCCATGGTGGTGCGACGGCAATTACCGTCGGCTCAGGTGGGGAGCAATCAGGTGCGTCGGCTCTCATTCTGTCGCGGTCAGGCTCGCCGTTGCCGCCGTATCGGTCCTCTCGAGGGCACGGACTGGTGTCATTGGCATGCAGTCTTGCGTAAGTCGCCGGCCGGGGATCCCGGGCCTGTGGTCTAGAACGGTCACTGCGCCGGAAAGAAATTCATAAAGTCATCGCCTCAGATGACCTGGGCCAGGATGACTAACACGTTTCGAGTTCGACGTTGATCATTTTGACGTTCACTTGCATGCTTTTAATGACGGACGACAAAGGAAGTCACGTTTCAATGAACCGCGATTGAAGCACGGCATTGCTCTTGGCTACCACGCGTCACGC